GGGGGGGGGGGGGGGGAGGCTTAAGATGAAATTACTTCTTGCATTAGCTGGCATGTAATTCAGGGGAAGATGAGGTGGTTCTAAATAGTGTTTTCCGTTTATTCTGTACGAGTCCTCAAACATTCCATGTGTTATTTCTCCTGAGTGGTGGTAGTGGTTTGCAAGGTTTGAAGCATGTTATGCCATTGGTCGGTGTAAACGATCATATTGGTTTTTAAGTTTGGTATGTAAAGGCCTCTTCACTTTCTAAATGTGTGTTTGTGTGCGTGTCTGTATCCTTATAATGGTAAAGGCGAGCGGAGCCCTCTACAACAGATGATACAAGGAGAAAATTAATGCAGATTATTGCAGCAGATAAGATTCCACTGTTATCTTCTGACTGATACTTTTTTATTTCTTGTTTCATGACATTTCTTATCTTCCTACGTATTTCATTTGATAACAATTAGTATTTCTTTTTCATGGCATTTATTCAAATAAAGAGATAATTGATGTTTCTTGATATACTCTAAGATCTGATTAGATGCTCATTTGGCCTTTTATCTGGCTATTCCTTTGGTGAACAAATAAGAATCATTAAATAGACTAGTGTGTTTTTTTATAAAGGAGATAGACTAGCGTCAATGTACAAGGAGATTACGTAGGCGAATATGGACTTTCAGTTTCCTGGTTGGGCACTACGCAAAATGGGAGGTAAATAGAATTAAAAATAGGGTATCTGATCCAGTCCTGTCTAGAAAATTGTTGGCCAGATCAGGAAGTATAATCTCACATAAAATTCTGGATAACTAATTTACTATTGCTAATTTAGTTTCCGCATAACTAGTACAACATTTGGTCCCCAGTGTAAAAATATGCATTGCAAGTACATCTTCTGTTGTGGTACTAAAATATGTATAGCTAATACCAACATAATTTATGCGTGAATTGATGTATTATCTTGTGCGGGATAGGATATGGAAAAATAATAATGTATTAGTGATATTTGGATAAGAGTATCTAGAAGCATAAACAATGCTTATCCCTTCATAACAATTATTCACCTCATAACAATCTCGACATTGTCATTCACCGCATGAAAATCCTTTATCATGATCCCTGCATAAATTAGTCTGTGAACCAAATGACCTCTCAAGGTATGAATTGTGTATGCCTATTTCCTATACGAAGACCTTGAAGACATGCAACAAGTGGCAGTAAAGGTGACATGTTTCTTGGACGGATGTCTCTCCAACTCTTTTAAACCAAGTAATATCATATTTATATTAGGAACTATTCTTTTCATGAGAATTGCTATGTATGCCAAAAATGTGGTGGTCGGACTTTGTTATGGTCTTATCTATCTTTCTCACAAACCAAGTGCAATGACGGCTTACTCTTTGAGGAGATATCGGCATATCGCAGTGTCAACCAGGTTGTACTCTTTGCTTGTTCTCTTGTCTGAGCCTATTGTTTGTGATTTTTTTACCCTTCATAGGTGGTATTATTTGCTATAGGGTGTAAATAGGTAATCTATTGATCTATTTTCTTGTGAATTTGTACTCCTGATGTTAAGCCAAATTTACGATACTGGTAGCTGGTAGTTTCCATTCATTACATTTGAAATCCTTAATGACCGTCGACTTAGCTTGTAGAGTCACATTAATTAGGCACTCGTATGATAGTTAAAAGTATATTAATTCAGCCACAATCAATCTAGGAGGCTGCTATCATCTGTCACTCTTAAACAAGAATAGAGAGAATCACCTTTCTAGAGATCACATGCTTTATATCGTGATTTTGGTGTCAAAAGTAGTATTGGAAAGATGTAGTTTTAGATGTAGAAATAAATGGTAGCTTAATAATTCAGCAATGTACGTGCAGTTGTAAAGATGGAAGATATGACCGTATCTGCATGCTACTTTGTCCCACATCGTCTCAAAAGCAAGAATTAATTCCTTCGTTATACCTATTTAGCGGTCTCTAATTATGAACTTTTACACATAGCTTGTGCGGGCCCTTGATGGCTCACATCACCTTGTAGTAAGGTCCCTTCCAAGAGTTGCAGTATGCTGGAAATCTTGTCCGTGAATTTGCTGGCACCTATGGATTCAGGTAATGTAACGTCTCCTTCAAGCCCTTCTTCCTTTAATTTGTTTTGTCCTTTTTCTGATTTTTCTTTTCTCTGATTTTTGTGATTATTGTTTATCTTTAACTTTATATTCTTGGTGTTTGCCTGTAAGTTTCCTTTCATTCTGTCTCTTTTCTTAACTATGAGCCTCGTGTTTTTCCAATTTCTCTGTTATTCTTTCTTTATGTTGAAACAAATTTGGAAAGAAATATAAATCTAAGCTTTAACACATATGAGGCTGCTTGTTCTTCTTTTCCATTCTTGTGCATCTATGTTGAAGTCTTCATTCTTTTCTCTTTCTAGTCTGGCTCCTAAACCTCTGTTGAAAGCTTCATCTGAACAAGAACAGAAAAGGCATGCACTGACTAATTTAACGGTTTTGTTAACCCAAATATTGGGAATTTTCACTCGTTTCCCTCTTAATCTGTGTTTCTCCTGAATGGTTTGGATTGAGAACGAGTTTTGAATGTATTTGCTCGTGAATGGTGATTTGAAACGAGTGGACCCTTGCTTCCTGTACTGAGAATCTTAGATAAGATCTCTAAGTTAATCAAATGTATAGTTCTAAAATTTTCTTATGATAGTTAACATTTTAAAGATCTCTAAGTTTAATGATGGTTGGCATTTTTAAACACAAGCCATAGATAGCAAAAACCACATGCTTTATACTACTTAGTGACAACTGGGTTTCTGGTTTCTTATTTGCCAAATTTTCTGTCTTTCCTGTTATAAAGAAATTAAACTAGCTTTTTACCCCATATTAGTAACATCTAATTTTTTCTATCCTTCAAAGATGAAGTAGTTCAGGGTGATTGGCGGAAATCCAGTTTGGTTAATTCTAATATCAAAAGAAACTCATCCTCCTGGATATGAGCAGTGATTCATCATTATTTTTTTGATTTGTCATATCTGCTAACCTTAAGTGTCTGATGACTCTTAAATGTGGACTTTGGCGCATTTGTCCTTATTTTCCTTCAGCATACTCATTCTGTCATTCTGCCCTGGAATGGTATGGAAGTTGTTGCAGCAGCCTCTTCACAAAACTCTGTGTGCACACTCCTTGATGACAATGCATGGTAATGTGTGACAATGTATAGTTAGAGTATTGGCAACTAACATGTCTCTGATTCGAAATAAAATTGTCTATAATTTTATTAATGAACTTGTTATACAACAAGTATACCAAAAAGTAGAGAACCACACTTGATCCATACAAACTGGAACCTCGTGGATGCACTAAAAAGTTACATCTCTTCTTCCTTCTCCCCTATGCTTAGCTATCTTAACTCTCTTATTATGCCTGGCATCGTTCACTGTACTCCGAACCAATTCAGTACTCTTACCACAGCTGTGTTTCCACTTTGCAATGTAACAGGAGGTAGCTCACATTCACAACTGAGCATTTGCACATGAAGCACCAGCTGACAGCTAACATATGTAATTCTGCGCTTTCTCATTTTCCCGGCTGTCAGCACCGCACCCGAGTTTCAAGCACCAATCTGATAAACAGACCTTTCTTGGAGATTGAAGCAAGATAAAATTTGGCTACTGGCGCAGAATGAAGTAAACACCAAGCTGAAAAACACACCTTTCTAAATGTAGAATGCTGCACCAGATTGTTAAGGTGTACTGTTAAAAAATTGTTATGGTCATGTTCTTTTTTGTTTGGTAACTCATTTTCTTTTCTTGTTTGGAGATTGAAGCAAGACAATAATTGGCTAATGGCGCAGTATGCGTGCATATTATATACTTCTTTTGCTGATTTGGCATATCTATTGAAGTTTTCTTATGGATGGATACTGCAGGCGCGTTTGGAGTCAAAAAGTCCAATGATGCCTTTAGGCTTTGATTTTACAAATAAACACTGTGCCTTTCTTCCGAGCACGTTGAGCTAGCTATATGATTCCTCACTAATTAGTTTCTCTAGTATCAGAACTTTTCTATATCCTTTTTCCGACAAAATCTATCAAGTTTACAAGTGGAAATGCAGCAAAATCTGGAGGAATAATAGATTGCAACAAGCACAGTGCTTAAGTCTAATACCGTAAAAAATGGAAATTTATTGAACTAAGGGCAATTTGAATGTCCCCATGACAATTGAACCGAGAAGACTGTGCAGGCTATTCGATGAGTACCACTGAGGCTATTGCCATGAACTTTGCAGCCTTTCTAATTTCCCTGTGTAGAAAGTTCTGCTTGTAATTTACATTCGAAAGAGCCTAAGTTTGTAGAAATTTGCTCCATGATGCCTGTAGGACTCTCAGCCACAATGAGCGTTCGCGCCAGGTAGTTCCTGAGATCAGATGCAGCCACTAAATCAGGAAAAGTAATTATCGCGTAAATCCTAGACTCATACTTCCCTATGCTAAATAAACAAGTGTAAGCTCTTGAAGATAACTGCGAAAAGCTTCACCTGATGAATTCTGATTCTGGAAGCAATGGTGAATCAGAATAATGGTTTTGGAACATGATATCTAGCAACCATTTTAGCTGCTACCAAACCAGCAGCCAAAACCACTCCAAATAGAGCATGAAGTCTCACACAGTAATACTTTGCCATAAAGATCTTTCCTTTGTCCTATAAAATTGAAGTTTAACATCATGAGGCAAATGAACATTTCTTGCCCAAAAAGACAGCAAAGTATATAAAGTCAGAAGAGGATATACATTTGCACATAGAATTTTTCCGACAGTAACCCAACAATGACCAAGACGAGATTTTTGTGGAAGAACAAAACAAAATCTTCACTCACCTCATAGTTGTTCTCCACATAGCTAACGACCAGTTTTCCCACTGGAATTGTTAAAGCACAAAGAATCTGGAAGAAAATGATACTGGATTACATAGTGAAACTATCTAAGTATTCAAAATTTCAAGTTAAAAAATAACATTAAAGTTGCCAACACAAAGTCAATAACAGGTCTCTTCATAACTTAGTAAAGACTTCTTTAGTGTGACTAAAGGGTTCAGGAAATTGTTTCTGGTTAAAACCAAATGAGCAAAGCTCCCAAAACAAGTAAGCTGCACATAGTCAGAACATAGTAATTATCATAACGACATTAAGAAACCAGATAAATACTTACAATGCATGTAAATGGAAGTGCTTGAGTCAAACCAAGAAGAAGCGTCCCTGAATAGAGTGCTGCCACACCCACTTTTACGACTCTGGAACCAGCTTGAGTACCAAGCCTAACCTGAACTCAAAGGCATGAATACAATCGACCACTAGTTCTTCCATTTCTAATTGAACTTGTATTGTCTGACCTAGGTGTACTTACCAGCGGAGAAAATTTTCCCACGGCCTTATCCCCTTCTACCTGAAGTTTGCATCAGATGAATGAGTTGCAACTGGTAAACACTTTTGGTTAACAAATTCTCTCCTAAAAGAGTGGAGGCACGGAAGGTATGGAGACTTTAATACCTGGTGGAAATGACTACTGAATAGGATAAGTGATGTAGTTAAACCAACAAGTGCTGATGCAGAAAGAATTGTACAAGTGATTGGGAGCTCACTGAAAAGCATATTAGACCAGATTCAGGTTGGCATAAACACCTTTTTTCATTATTTTATGGTTAATAATAATAGCACAAACCTGGTGCTGCTTTGAAGCAAGTAAAAGGCAGTAGTAGCGAAAGGACCAAATGCAGCAAAGCACAAGGGTTCCCCCAGTCCTTGGTAACTTAACCGAAATGGCGGGCACTACAAGACATTTAATTAGAAGCAATGGAGTTCAGTTATAAACATAACAATACACACGGTACAACAGAGAGAGAGAGAGAGAGAGAGGGAGAGAGAGGGAGAGAGAGAGAGAGTG